CTGAGTCCTGAATAGTCCCAGATCTGATCACATGACCTGCAGCCCCTTCCACAACATAGAGTTAAGGGAAACCATATGGCGATATACACATATACAACACAGTAAGCAATCTGAATTATATACAAACAAATCACTAGTGGAGGCTTTAAAAAGGTTGCTATTTCCAATATTTTTGACCCTCTTTTTTTGACAAAACGGAGTCTGAGTCCTGAATAGTCCCAGATATGATAACTGCATGCCAATATATACATATACAATACAGTAAGCGATCTGAATTATATACAAACAAACTACTAATGGAGGTTGCTATTTCCAACATTTTCGAGTCTGAGTCCTGAATAGTCCCAGATCTGATCACATGACCTGCAGCCCCTTCCACAACATAGAGTTAAGGGAAACTGCATGCCAATACACACATATACAATACAGTAAGCAATCTGAATTATATGCAAACAAATCACTAGTGGAGGTTGCTATTTCCAACATTTTTGACCCTCTTTGCAAGATGCCTCTATGTTTTATGACGAGGCCGGGACCATCCATCCTCTTGCCGGAGCCGAGGGCAAACTTGGCATCGCGAACAGATGCCCTCTTTTTGCAACATTTCCATTCTTCTTTTGCAGAGCCAACTTCCGAAGGCCTCTCGGAGCCCAAGGCCGCGCAATCTGGACCCACCGCCGAGCATTTTCGGGGGATCCGGGGCTCTCTATGGAGAGGGGCCATCTGTCCTCCCCGAATGTGCAGAATGGGAACGGAATGGTGGAGGTGGGCCGAACCCACCGGGGAACCGAAACAGATGCTGGGCTGGGTGAGCTGCCAAGGCAAGCAGGACCCAATGGCTGCCGGCCAAACCTCTGAAGTGTCTCCCATCCGGGGCACAAGGCAACCCCAGCCCTGACGTATACACCACTCAAGCTGGCAATGTAGGGTTGCCACGTAAGAGATATTTGTTGCCGTACGCTTTCCAACAACGATGGGAAGGAAACCAGCGTGTTACTGTGT